ATTTATTTGGGAATACAAATTGTTAATTTTTAGATGAAAAATATCGCCCAGTAAAATATGGAATACAAATCATCAGATTCTATTTTAACTGTACAAAATTGTTTGGCCAAAATTACCTATAAGACGAATCCTAAAAATGTCACGTCTAGAGCCTACACTTTGGACATAACCGACATTTAGAACCATTTCTAGTGTCAAGTGAATCATTGACATGGCTTACTACTAAATTGGAGACTGAATAAATATGTGAAAGTTGTTTAAAGGTGGACATGCAATTGCCCTAGAAAATCACTTCAATCATTTATAAGTAATAAATCTTAAATAAGACATGTTGATAAAACAACTGATAATAAGACTCAATTGACTCATTTATAAAGCTTCTAACATACTGAAGATAGGTCAGTGGAACAAGACCCAAACTACTTGAATATTCTACTAACAACATCTAATAACTAGATAAAGTGGAGCTCTCATAAAGCTAGGAGGTCTCACCAAAGTTGGATGAAAGTGATTAGACTAATCATTAAAAGTTGCAGCGCCGAATGACGTTAGTACATAAAATGTACAACATGCAAAATAGTTGAGTGAAATAACTGGCCAAAACTGAACATACTATGCTCATGAATAACTCTGAAAATAGACTAAAATAAAGTCAACTGAATAGTAATGCATATATGTGTACTTTTAACACTAAACTCTATTATTGAAAACATGCAGGATAACAAATATTGAAAATAATATAGCTTTATTTTTCTTGGGAAATTTCTCTAACTGATAACCATCACATGAGCCTCATGATGATACAACATTTTCCCCATGTTGCTAGAGTCATTTAGTACTTTGTCAGGGTAAAGGACAAATTGAACTATGAATCTAATATTTAAGCCCTTATCAGGGGCTTTTTGAGGAGTTGTCCGAACCAACGACACGATCCTATCCTACGTTGGTGGTGCAATTTTGAGGTTTGGATAATTTGAAATTTCACCCAACTCGGTGTTTAATACTGCTCCAAAACTATGCATTGTGCTTAATAACAATAAAGATATCCCACTTTAGGGAAAGTATCCCACTTTATGAGAAAAACTGATAATCTGATACTCTGAGTTTACAGATCTACGCTCAATAATGCTTCTTTAAAACTGAACTAATCTGAACTAAACTTTACTCTAAAACTGTTGGGTATGTAGCAAGAGTTAATGGGAAATTGAGGGAAGATGAAAGAGGAACTTGGAAAAAGTTGGGAACTTGAAAAGTTGAGAACTTGAAAAGTCCTCTTATGCTTTATTGAAAAGACATTTGTCCCTCATCGGTGGTGGAAAGAAAAATAGGAGAGTTTAACTATATAAACACTCATATTAATTGTTAAAAGGGTTGGAAAGAGGGACCCCCCTCGCGCTTTGGATTTGGATCGAGAGATTATTTTTTGAACAAAGTTTGTTTTAATTATTTTAGTTAATTAATTATTTAATTAAATTAAATGGCCAACGTTTTGATTAGTTAATTGACCCGATCCGAGTCGGATCCACGCGCGACCCATTTTATTTAAATCTTTCCCGTTTTATTTAAATTTCCCGTAGTGACTGTTCTGAAAGGTTGCAACTTTCAGAAACAACCATGACCGTTTGAAAGGTTGCAAACTTTCATGAATGGTCGTGTGGATTCTGAAAGGATTGCAACCTTTCGGAACCAGTTCCTCTTGCCTATAAATACATTGATTCTTCAGATTTATTCCTTACGAATTTTTCTGATATCTTCTTCTTCTGCACAAAATTTCTTCGTGTATTTTACTGTTGTTGAGTGGTTCACTGACACCAGAGTTTTGGGTATCAATACACTAGTGATTGAGATCATTCTATCCTGGGAGGACATATTCCAAATCAAACCTTGGATACTAGAGCGGAATAATTTCCTTAAGGGGACATTGTGCATTCAGTGGGCTTGATCTTTTTCTGATTCTATTTTTCCAGATTGTGGTATGTTTTTTACAGATTTTAGTTTTGTCAATTAATTTATGTTCATCTATTCTTACTGGTTTATTAAACTTTGGTTACTTCGTGTTTCTGCAAAGTTTATTGAAATCAGTAATTCTGATTTTTTATACACAGATTGATAACAAAAACTTGACTATGCTTTTATGAAAAACACAACACTATGCTTTCTCAAAACTGAGGTATGCTTTCTTTAAAAATGAATATACTTTCTTTCAAAAAATTTTGCTTTCTCAAATATGAGATATGCTTTCTTTGAAACTGAACATGCTTTCTTTAGAAAACGGTCTAAACTTTCTTTTTAAAAATATACATCTGAATGCAAATTTTACTTTCTTGAACTCTTTCTTGAAACAATGCATTTGAAGTTTGAAATAAGAATACTTTCATGAAAATCTTAAACTTATATGATATGATATGACAAACTTTTCAAATAATTTTGATAAAAAGAGTCATGTGGTAGAATAACATGAACGCTAGATCAATCAAGAATCATCAGTAAGATATAGTATAATAAATTCAATAATTGAATCAATGTCAATGAACAAATTTAAAATAAATAAGTTTGATAATAATGGCTTTGGATAAAAAAACTTATCTTTGATCTTACTATCTGAAACTGTAGAGATAGTGCATGAGGAAGAACTTAGTTCCTCAATATGATAATCTTACATACCTTATACACTCCAAATTCTTGAGAAAAGTGTGATTTTGGAGGAAAAGATGGCAAGAATCTATTTCTTGAACTTTAGAGGTGGAGTTTCTTGAAAATCATGAATTTCACAAGTAAAAGGTATTAATTCGTGTTTAGACGAAGAAATCATCAAAATTCTATGGTCAAACATTACTTTAAATGCTAGATGAATCTTGGAGAAAATTGGATTTTTGAGAGCTTTGTCTATTACTAGTTGTTTGGTATACCTTTTCAGGTCATATATAACTAATGCTTGTATTACTAAAATACACGCTATAGTCTTTTGGGGTACTATGTATCACTTATATGCATTAGTAATACAATGAGTTCTAGTGCATGCATTAACATGGTCAAAGATACAACTGTCCCTCAAAACCTTTTCTACATTCTTTCGAGTTTTTGACTAAAATCATCCTTGAACAATGACTTAAACCTAAAGAACGTCCTTGTGTTATATAAGTAAACAAAAAACATCCCTGCACTATCCAAAAAGTTACAAGATTCATCCAATGTTTATTTTTTTCTAAGAAAGACAAAATGTATCCAAATTCTAAATATTCTTTGCAAAAAGTATGGTCAAACAACTCCAACTTCAAAATTGTCAAATAAAGTAATTATTATTATTTTTATTTTAATAACCAAACACCCACTTAGTTTTACTAAATTTTCAACATTTATGAACATTGTATAACATGTGAATTATATTGTATATAACGTACCTACATACTATTTTATAAAAGAAAATCTCTAAGTAGCTGGGTGTAATATTTTTAAAATAATTTTTTTGCATAATTTTTCTGATCATTGAAGCATACCGTATAAACATTTCAAGACTTATGTATTGTTGCAAGTCAATTGACTTGATGATGCAATAAAACTATAAACTAACAACACGCAAAATTTAAATTCTGAAATGGAAAGATTCATTTTTTATCCATATTCTTATTATTATAATTTTTTTTTTGGGGTGGGGGGGTAACTTTCATATTCTCGTCATGACTAAGACGTGAAGAAATTAAAAAAAAAGTGTTTTTTTTATTGATTCAGTCAGTTTCTTGACAAAAATAGACTGAAGGATGATTTTTGTAATTTTCTGGATAGTATAAAGATGTTTTTTGTTCACTTATATAGGTAATAGAAGAATGTATATTAGATTTGAGTCTTAGTTAAGGGATGATTTTAGCTAAAAACTCCATTATTTCCATCACATTTGTAGAAGATATTTTGTAAATAATTTTTTTAAAAAAATTATGCAATGCATATTATTTTTAATACATAAAATAAAACACCACATAAGAAAAATCTCAACATAACTAATACAATATTATTACTCCCTTTGTCCCTAATTACTTGTCCACTTTTGAATTGACACATCTATTAAGAAAATAATTAATGACATAGTGAGTTTACCATTTTACCCCTATTAATTATGAAGTGGATGAAAAGTTCTACATTTTTAAAAATAATTAGTCATTTAATTAAGGATATAATAGATAAAAAGAATTTATAATTTCTTGATTTGTCAAAATAAATAAGTATTAGGGACAATTATAAAAAAAAATTGACAAGTAATTAAGAATAGAGGGAGTACTACACAATATTTACATTAATTTTGAACACCCCATCAAAAGATCCCTCAATGAAAGAAAGACATTTGTAATAGAGACATTTTAAAACCTTGTGTATAACATTTTTATACTTTTGATTGAAATGTAAAAACAAGAAAGAACCGGACCACCTTCTCGAGGGTGAAAAAGTTGAAAATCCCAATGGTCAATATATATCTCTCTGTTTCTGTCAGAGATTTTTTTTTGCTTGTTTTTTCCATCTGTAATCCATCAACACCTTCATCTTTCTACCCTTTGAATCATAGCACCTAACAGTTCTACTACTATTACTCCACTTCAGTACATTTACATTATTGACTTCTACAGTAAGAATCTTTGTGCTCTGTTTTTCTTTTATGGTTATTTCTTTTTAGAGAGAGTAAAAGCAAGAAATTAAAGCTACTTTCTTGTATTGTAGGGTCTCTCTGTTTTGAATTTCTTCAACTTACCCTAGAAAATTTTATTGTTTGTTTGCACTTTTGCACTTTCTTTCTACATTCTCTTTCTCTCTTCCTCATTCATGGCTTTTTCTTCACCAACCAACCATTGATGAGTTTCCATCACTTGCCATTGATTGAGCATTCAAAGCTCAAAATCATTGTCTTCTTCATAATCAGTGTTGTCTCTTTTCAAACTATAACTAAACATTTTGCTTACTAATTGCTACTCTCCAAGAACAGGGCTTTTCAGTTTTGAACTACTCATACGAAAATGCTTTCTTCCTTATATATCATTAATCTTGTTCTATTTACATTTTTCTCCTTCACAACTACCACCGCCGGCGCCGGCGTCTACTACCGGCACCGGCGGATTCTCCATCAACCCTTTTTCCCAGTTGTTGATTCTCTCCCACCATCTTCACTTCCTTCCATAACTCACCCACCACTTTCTTCTCCTCAATCTCAACCTCAACCTCAGCCTAAATTTCCATTTTCTACTCTATCACCGCCGGATATGCCATTAACGCAAAACCCATTTTTTCCAGTCTTCTCTTCACCGCCGCCACCACCACCACCTCCTCCGCTACCTTCTGACAGTTATGCAACCTTTCCGGCGAATATCTCCTCACTTATTTTACCACAAACTTCCTCTCATTCTTCCACCAAACCCATTTCTGGTAAACTCATTGCCATCATTATCTCAGTTTCTGTTCTCTCTGCAGCTTTTCTCACTTCTCTTGTCGCCTTTTTCCTTCATTACTATCGTCAAGGAAAAGTTGAAGAGAAAAGCTACTATCAACGAACAGATAGTCTCCGACTTGTCCCTCCTAATGCCACTCCCTCGGACGGTGTTGTCATCAAGAAACACCTTCCATCTCCACCTCCACCTCCACCTCCACCGCCTCCGGCGATGGAAGTGCCGCGTCACACTCCCACTTCCAATAGCTCGGAATTTCTTTACCTTGGAACACTCGTGAGCTCTAGAGAAGTTGAATCACCGGAGCTCCGACCAGCTGAGGGCGTTGCAGTGAACTTCCAAAGACTTGGATCACCGGAGCTCCTACCACTCCCGCCGTTGCCACGTCAGCATTATCGGCAGACCCGCAAGAATGGTGCTACTGAAGTGGGGTACAGCGGTGAAGATGATGAGAATGATGATGAGTTTTTCTCTCCTAGAGGGTCTTCAGGGGATAAAGGTAGTCCGAGTCGAACTGTATCAAGCTCCCATGCAACACCATATGAAGTTCCATTTCAAAGCCAGAATAGATTTCCATACTCAAATTCGAATTCACCATCGGAATCTTCCTTGTTGAATAGTCCTTCACTAGAGTTCAACTTAAGCCCAAAAAGCTTAACGTCCAGATCACCTGATTCGTTGGTGAATTTTCTAGCTCCGCCACGGTTTATTCCTACACAGACATTTAGGGGATTTTCATCACCTCCGTTATCTTCGGGTGATACCCATAATTCCCCTTCAATAGTTTCAGATTCATCAGCACGGATTTCTGAGTCTTCACTGAGGAATCTGGGTGGTTTTGGGAGCTATGTGTCGATGAAAGTACCACCACCACCGCCTCCGGCTCCACCACCGAGGTTTTGGGAAGCTCCTCAAGTTCCAAAATCCGTGGAGGCGGAAAATGGAGGACCACCGGTGCTGATGGCACCATCTATGCCTGTTTTAGGTCATCATGTTAGTGGCAATATTAAAAGCTCAGAGGCTGTGGAGAGGAGGAATGATGAGATTACAAAGCCAAAGCTGAAACCTTTGCATTGGGATAAAGTTAGAGCTACCTCTGATAGAGCAATGGTTTGGGATCAATTGAAATTTAGCTCTTTTCAGTAAGATTTGTATCGTTAAATTCTTTCCGGTCATTGTTGAAAATCGAGTACATTCTTGTTTCCTAATTTTTGAAGGGTGTGATTTCCGTTGTAGGTTGAATGAGGAAATGATAGAGACTTTATTCACTGTGAATTGTTCGAATTCGAATCCAAAAGATGGGATAACACGGCTGGTACAGCCAGTGTTGAATCAAGAAAACCGGGTGCTTGATCCGAAGAAGTCTCAAAATATTGCAATTTTGCTGAGGGCACTTAATGTCACTAATGAAGAAGTTTGTGAAGCACTTTTAGAGGGTAATATCATGCACTGTCTTTTGAGCTTTTCGTAAATTCTCTTGAATGTTCACAACTAGCAATCGTTAATTAGGATTATGGTAAGGATAAACTTTTCAATGCACTGCATTAATTTTGATCCACTTGCTCTGGCCTAGATATTTAGTTTAATCTGGTAAATTGCCTTGTTCGGATAAACTCCTAAATACATTTGGTTTTTTAACTTTTATGTTTATTCTTTAAATGTGTCATTGCTTTTACTAGATATGTTGAAGTTTGTTGAATCTGATTGCTTGCCATTTATATTTTACTCCTGCTATAGAAATTTAGCCTCAGAAGTGTTTATTCTTTAGCTGAATGCCCGGTTCTTAAAATCTACTGTATATAATATTCAATCAATCAATGAACTGCTAATTTGGTACCACATTCTGGTGGCTTATAATTACAGTCTCATCCAGTTATATTGCCATCGCTCTCATCTTGAACAACAATTAGTGGTTATTCAATTTTTGCATGAGGGCACTGATTCAATTTCTTTTTGCTTAACCAAAATCAGGGAATGCTGATACTCTGGGAAGTGAGTTACTTGAGAGTTTATTGAAGATGGCTCCCACTAAAGAAGAAGAGCGGAAGCTGCAAGAGTTTAAAGATGAATCACCATTCAAGTTAGGCCCAGCTGAGAAGTTTCTCAAGGCAGTGCTTTATATCCCTTTTGCATTTAATAGGGTGGAGGCTATGCTATATATTGCAAACTTTGATTCAGAGATTGAATATCTTAAGAGGTCATTTGAAACACTAGAGGTAAATTGTGCTTATCTGTTCTTGAATGGTACACTTTATTTTGTTCGACAATATTACCTGTCATGATGGCAAATTGGCAATACCCCTATACCACGTTGCTTCTTGAAATTGATTTTAGCTTCCTCCTATTGTGACCTTGTTATGCTATACTTTTTTTTTTCTTCTGGTTTCAATGTTCTCCCCTACCTGCTCAATCCATTATGCTACGTCAACATATTGGATGTCATAACTTTGGTCTGAGATTGCCATTCTTTCTCTATGTACATGTACCATTGTCCAGACGTCGTTCATGCATGAGTTTATTTAACTTCATTACCTTGCCATACTTCTTTTATGGACATTTGTTCTTAATAGGGTCATCTGAAACACTGAAGTTTCTATATGTTGACTGTTTAGACACAATCTCATTGGTTTAACGTTAAGAACACTGATGAGATTTTGACCATGTAGAGAGTACTTGGGTCCGGCCCAATTTCCGTGGTTGGACAATGTTCATCAATATACTTTCACTGTAGATATGCCGTGTTTGAACTTTGATGACATCAAGATGTCTTGTTCCTTTAGATTCAGTTAGTAGCTTCGATTTGATGAGCTGAATGTTGGATGTCCACCTCCTTGAAAACTTATATATTCATCCTTTCAGACTGCTTGTGAAGAGCTAAGGAATAGTAGGATGTTTCTAAAGCTACTAGAGGCTGTACTCAAAACTGGGAACCACATGAATGTTGGAACCAACAGAGGAGATGCCCGTGCATTCAAGCTCGACACACTTCTTAAGCTTGTAGATATTAAAGGTGCTGATGGGAAGACCACACTACTGCATTTTGTTGTTCAGGAAATCATCAGAGCAGAAGGGTCTCGTCTTTCTGGTGCTGATGATCAGAATCCAATTGTAGAAAAGACACTGCAGGATGAGGTTGAATTCAGAAAGATTGGCCTTCAAGTTGTTTCTCGCCTAAGTGGTGAGCTTACAAATGTGAAGAAAGCTGCTTCTATGGACTCTGATATTATTAGCAATGAAGTTGCAAAACTAGCTGCAGGAATTGCTAAGATCACTAATGTTCTTAAGCTGAACAAAGAGTTGGTGCCGAGTGAGAATAGCAGAAAATTTTCTGAGTCAATGAATGGATTCTTGAAGACGGCAGAGCAAGAAATTATCAACATCCAAGCTCAAGAGAGTGTTGCCCTCTCAATGGTGAAGGAGGTGACAGTATATTTCCATGGTGACTCGGTCAAGGAAGAAGCTCGGCCACTTAGAATATTCATTGTAGTAAGGGACTTCCTCTCTGTCCTCGATCAGGTGTGCAAAGATGTCGGGAGAATGACTGACCGAACTACAATCAGCTCAGGTAGACAATTTCCCTTGACAGTCGATGCAGGGCTTCCCCAAGTTTTTCCTGGATACAGCGTAAGGCAACACGATAGCTCCTCTGAGGATGAAACAACCCCATCTGCGTCATGACATAGTGTTATCAGATGACTTCCTTCGCCATAGTAGGCTGGTTTATTTCCACTGTATAGTTTGCTGGAGCCTATGGATTGGTCTTTTTGATGTCCCAAGTGTAGTAGATATCAGTCTTGCATTTCTCATCTGTATTTATACCTTTTCTGTAGTTGCATTCTAGAGCTATCTTATTATAATTTTATTGGTAACCGCTCTTTTTTTAATGATTGTAATACAAGAAAGTACAAGTATATCAGGGATTATCATTCATGATATTTGATCACGAGACAAGTAGTTTGTTACTGTATCAGGATTTGCTTTTGAATTATAGTTCAAGATAGCAGCCTGCATTGCATTTTTTTTAAGAATAGTAGACCATATATATAAGGCGAAATGGTCTGGTGGACCCTTGAACTCTTATACTTGTATCTGTTTGTATTGTGAACTCTTCTATTTACCCTTTTGTCATCCGGACCCTTGAACCCATTCAAACCCAATATTTTGAACATTTTTTTTGATATGATATGGTGCGTGTTGCACAAACTCGTACACGTTGGCCAAAAATAAAAACAAATTAATTCACGTATGAATATTATATTCCACGTTGGTAAATGACTATTCCAACTAAGAATAGTCCAAACCTTCACGATTTTTCCAAAACTTTGCGACTTTTCCACTTCTCCCCTTCTCCTCCCTGCGTTTTCTCACAGTTCGTTCGCGATTTTGCTCAGTTGAAGCTTGGTTTCACTGTGATATTCGTTGTAAGTTCTTGCCTTTTGCGTTAGTTCTGATTTTTTTCATTTTCTTCATGCGTATCTATTTGATTTTAGGGTCGATTTTCTGAATTTTTTTGGGGATTTTACTTTGGTTTGGGTGTAATGTTAGTGTAATATGCTTTCGTAGTTGATGTATGACTTCAAGTGACTTCAATGATATATTTCGTGAATCCGAGTAGATTCTAGGATTTATTCGTAAAATCTCAATTTCGACTAAAATTAATATTTATTTCTGGTCAATTATCTTGGGTATTGATAGTGGTAGTGGTAGTGGTCCATTGTTACATCAATTACAACAATTCATTAGTGGTCCATTGTTACTTTAGATTCTTGACAGTTGACACCTTGTTTTCTTAAAAAAAAAATTAGGGCGCTTTTTATCTTACAGTCTTGGTAAGTTAATGGCTTTAACTATAATTATTTTTATTTTGACTTTACAGGCATCGTAAGTTAATGACTTTAAGTATAGTGACACTTCAATTTCACTATGGGATTGTTTTGTATCTGATCCTACTTTAAGGTATGCCAATAGAATCACTAGTGTTGGAAAGATTAATATAGATGTAGATGAGTTGCATATTATGTAGTTTCATAAAATAGCACTGGAATTGGGTGTTGAAAATGTTGAGACATTTGGATGTAGAGTCAACAAGAAGGGTACTTTTTACATGTTAAATACTGGTTCTGATATTTTAAACTTTTTTAATGGTTTGAAGGGTGTTGATTTTGTTGATGTATATGTTGTACATCCCATTAGTATACCTTTAGTTGTTGAGGAGATACTTGTATTGTCTAACACTAATGTTGATGTGTCCTCATCTCTACACAAAGATAATGATGATGTGTCCTCCTCCCTACACAAAAATAGGGTTGATCTGTCATCCTCCCCACAAATAGATAGGGCTGATGTATCTTCATCTCAACCATTTGATGAAAATGAAAATAGGCATTTAAACCAAAATCAGTCCTTTTTAGTTGAAGAGCAGTCCCCTTTAGTTGAAAAATAGTCCCCTAGAGTTGAAGAACAAGCCTCTGACCCTAGAGTTGAAAAACATTCTGATTCTGATTCACTCTATGATGTTGATGAAAATATTGATGATTTGAGTGATTTGGATGAGGAGTTGCTTTAAGCTAGGCAGTCTAACATTCAAGAGCAAGTTAAAGAGAAGGCTGATAGAGTAAATCTAGATGAGATATCATTTGGTCATGTAGGCATAGATGTTGGTTTTGAAAACATTTATAAGGAGAAGAGGGGGAGATTTGAAGGTAATTTGGGTGGTAATGACCCTTATTTTGATAGCTCAGATCCTGATAGTGACATTAGTGAAAATGAAGGGGATCCTGTTGAGAATGATGAAATGGTAGATCCAGCACCTAGGAAGGAATGTACAAAGATCTACTTTGATCCAACTGCTAAAAAGATTTTATTTCAATTGTATATGATTTTTTTGAATCACATTGAGTTCAGGGAGGCACTGCAAACTTACTCTATTCAGAAGGGTGTTAATATTAAGTTGAAATCTAATGAGAAGGAAAGGATAAGGGCAAAGTGTAAGAAAAAGGGTTGTCCTAGACATATTCTTGGAAGTATTGATGGTAACACTGAAAACTTTAGTGTTAAAACACATTTTCTTGTCCACAAGTGTTTTAAAAGAACAAGAAACAGACTGTGTACCCCCATTTGGATTAGTAAACATTACAAGGAGAGGATTATGAGTGAGCCTACCATTAAACTACATCAGATTCAGTCTTTGATACAAAAGCAATATGGTTTGTGTGTTAGTAAGACAAGTTGTAGAAAGGCAAAACTGAGAGTTATGAATGAACATATGGGAGATTTCATAGAGGAGTTTGCTAGGTTGTATGATTATGCTGAGCAATTAAAGACCACAAATCCTGAAACTAATGTATCTATTAGGACATCCAAGAACACAATTCCAGGAAAAAAGGTGTTTATGGACATCTATATTTGTCTTGGTTCCTTAAAAAGTTGATGGAAAGAAGGGTGTAGAAGGATTATTGGTTTAGATGGTGCATTTCTCAAAAGTGTATGTAAAGGTGAACTGTTATCTTGCATTTTCAAAGATGAAAATAATTAGATGTACCCATAGCATGGACAATAGTCGATAAAGAAACCAAGGACAAATGGTCTTGGTTTCTCGAGTGCATCAAACATGATTTGGAGCTTACAGAAGGTGAAGGACTAACAATGATGTCTCATATGCAGAAGGTATTGCTAAATTATTTGTTAAATTTATTCTTTTATTTCTGGAGTAATTGATATTTAACATTGTTGTATGTCAAATGTTCTTTGTTTGACAGGGTCTTCATCTTGCACTTATTGATGTATTGCCGAATGCTGAAATTAGATGGTGTGCTAGGCATATATGGGCAAACTGGAAGAAAGAATGGAGGGGCGAAGAAAGGAGAAGAAAATTCTAGCAGGTTTCCAGGGCATTATTTGAGGTACTTTTACAGTCTAAACTTGATGGCTTGAGTGAGTTAGGAGAAGGCATTGTAGAAGCTTTGTTAAAGTATAACAAAGAAGCATAGTGTAGGACATATTTTAAAGAACATAGCAAGTGTGATGTGGTTGAGAACAAAATGTGTGAGACTTTCAATAGTTGGACTTTAGGTGCTAGGTTCAAATCAATAATCACTATGCTAGTGGAAATAAAAGTCAAAGTTATGGAAATAATGAATCAAATGAGAGAATTTTCAGAAAAATAGATTACTAATGTATCACCAATGGCTATGGATATTCTTGGAAAAATGCTGAAATTGTAGATAATTGTGAGGTAAAATTTAATGGTGATCTTGACTTTGAGATTCATGATCCACCATATAAACATGTTATTGACCTAAAAAAGAAGAAGTGTAATTGTAGGTCATGGCAACTAAAGGAAATTCCTTGTGGCCATGCACTTACAACAATTCATTATAAGGATTGGATTGTTGAGTCATTTGTTGATCACTAGTATAAGAAGGAAACATATTTGAAAGCTTATAATAGGTTTATTCAACCTACGACAAACATGAAGATGTGGCCAAAAAGTGATAGACCAATCATTGAACCACCTGAAATTATTGCCATACTAGGAAGACCAGGAAAAAACAGGAGAAAAGATAGTGATGAGCAAGTTAAGAAGAAGTATGGAAAGGCTACAAGGAAGGGAAGAAAAATGAAATGTTCTGTGTGTAAGACTTTTGGACATAACAAGAAAGGATGTCCAACTCTGGTAAGTTGTGCTTTAATGTGTCTTTGTTACTGAATTTTACTATTGTTATACTTTTGACTTTAATATATGTTTTTAGAAAAATGGTACTGCTGGAACAAGTGCTGCAACTGCTGGAACAAATGCTGCAACTTCAAATGTTGCTACTGGAACTAAGGCTGGGCACCGGACCGGGTTGTACCGGTACCGTTCCAGTACTATTCTGGTTCATTCTGATCCGATAGTCTTCGGGACGGAACGGGACACCGTGAACCGGTACACGGGACAGAACGTATCACGATTTGATACCGGTGTATCGATACCGATTTATCCTGATTTATTCTGATTCCGTTTCGATCCGGTCCGATTTTGATTAATTATTTTTTATTAATTAATTTATAGTATAATTTTTATATATAAAAAATAAAAGATATAGGCTTTCCCAATGTCCTAGGTGGCACCTTTTCAGCAAAAAGCTTGTTGCCCCTGCCTCCTGCTCCCTGCCCCCTGCCGACCTGTCCCATTCGGTCATCCCCAGTCCCCACTCCCCACTGGCCAATGTTGACTGCCCCAACCCCCAACGGAAATATTTTCAGCTTCTCTACTCTCCAGACTCCAATCCATATTCCATTCCAACGACTATATTTTCCAATTCCAACACATAATCACAATTTCTAAAAACTATATATACTTTCTCTCTTTATATTTTTAATTACAATTTACGTATTTCCAGTATTTAACAATTAACAATCATCAATTTTTCTCAATTCTCAATCTTTCTCAAAGTTTCAGACTTTCAATATTCAAGTTCCAAATTTCAATCATATTATTTTGTAATTGTGAAGATTTCAATAATTATTTGGTGAATTTTGGAGTAGGAATCTTCTTCAAACTTCAAGTTTCGACATCAATTTTTCAATTTTCGATTATAATCAGTTGTTCTTTACACAAACGTTTGGTAACTTCGTTCCACTCTCTAATCTTATATTTATTATTTTTAAGTTGTTCTTGTTATATTTTATTTGTTCTTGTTAAATTTCGTATTTTATAATTTATAATTTTATATCATGGAGTCTTCTAAAAAAAGTGGAGGTAAAAAAGGTATTGTACACAAAGTAAAAAATATTTTTACAAAAAATAATAACGATT